AATATGCTGGAGCATGGAGTTCCCCAGCTGAACTGTACACTGCGGGAAAAGAAATAAACTGCTCTGGTCTGGTTTGAACTGGCAGTTTGCTAGCTTTCTTTGATACCTGCTACTTCTTGAAGTAGAACAGGCAACGAAGGCCCCTTTGCTATTCACCCTGTCCTTGCCTCGCATAGTATTCAACGGCGCACATGCAGGAACACCATGTGTTTACATAGTGACAGACTACTGTCTGAAGTCTATTCCATTTCTTTTCCAATAACTTCAGACATTCAACTTCCTTCTGAGTAATGAGCTGGTGTTTTGTGTGGCTATTTATTAACCACAGGTTTTGATTTCTGAATAGTAACGATCATTAGGTTACTCAGGGCTTATCATGTTATTTTTTTCTATCCCTTTACACTTACCTGCCAAGTCCAGTCAGCAAGTGCTGTGAATGTCTTCTGCAGTGTTTTATTAGCAACTTTTGTTTTTACTAGCCTGAAAAAATTCATCATTATAAAGGTTTTTTTTGCTTCCCTTTTCACTCCCTTTCATGATCACTTATGCTAAACACCACAGGTCACGGATTAGATCCCTGCAGGACTCTAGTGGTGACTTTCTACCATTGTTAAAACCAACCGCTCACTCCAACTTTTGTTTTTCCATCTTTTAAACATTTACTCATATCAAGACCTTCCCTCTTATCCAATGGCTGCTTCATTTCCATAAGAGGTAGCCTTCTCAAAAGCTTTTTGGAAATACAAGCAGACTATTGCAATCAGATTTCCCTTGTCCACAGGTCTGTTGAGGCCTTCAAAAAACGCCTGTAAGTTTGTGAGGCAGAATTCCTCTTATTCTCCCCTGATGTGGCCAAAATGGCTTTTTTGGGGGTACTTTCTACTAATTTGTCCAGTGCAGATACTGAGCTCCTGGTCTGTAGTTCCCCAAGTCTTCTCTGAGAGTGGCTTAAAAAATAGGCATCATATTTGCCATGGTGATACACCCACATGGCTTTAAGCGAGAACTTACACTTCGCAGTTAGTAGTCCTAAGGTAAGTTCCCTTAGGTTTACTGACTGAAGACCAACAGGTGATGGTGACTTGCTATTGTTCATTCTGCCTATTTCTTCCATAATCTCTCTACCAGAACTTCTCTTTGAGGCAGATCTTGTGATGAGTCCCCTACAAAGACTGGCTGTGGCATAACAATCATCTCCTCAGTTTTTCCAAATCTTGGCATGGATGCAAAAATTCATTTGCCTCCTCTGTAACAGCTTCATCACCTCTACATACACCTTTTATACCTTGATCATCTACTATTTCTACAGAATATCCAGAAGTCTCCCTCTGTGATTGAAGAGGGAAATTAATAGTTCCGATGGTTTCCTGCAAATCATTCTTCACATTCTTTCTTGACCTGTCTGTGCAACTGGGCAGGTGAAGGCATCCATTGTTACTTTACTCCCTGTTCTTGCAGCTTTTTGATCTTCCTTCCTGTACTATAGCTGGCATTACTGTCCTGCTTACGAGGTCAGAAGTACAGATGCAGTGCTATATCTTTCCTTCTATAATCCAAGAAATTCAAATAATACGTGTACTAGGGGACATATCATCTCTGTGAGTTAGAATATGAAGAAGTGAGAAGAGAAGAAATGGCATAAATGCAGCTCAGATGTGGCACTGTTAGCATTAAGCAGCCCTCCTAGAATCCAAACAAGCAGTGAAGACACAAGAGATTTTGCAGGAATTAGTCAACCAGTACTTCAGAGAGCTGGAGCTAAGCTGACACCTGAAGTTGCTCCTGTGTCCTGCACTAAGTTCTCTCTTCTGTGAAGTGGCATGGATATTTCATATGCCTCTGTGCACTGCCAGAAGATATAGGAAGGCTGCTAAACTGCTTGTAGCCCTGCAGTTCAGCATGGCCTCCTTCTCACAACGCTGCAGTGGAGTGCGCGAAGCCTGCTGGACTGAGCTGACATTGCCCAGATGAGCTCTAGTGCCTCTGTGCCCATGGCATTAAGCCTCAGCAAGCCATGGGCAACTGAATGTGTAAGAAAAGTAACAAAAGGGAACACAGGAAACATGAAATTGCAAAGTAAAGCTCTCAAGGACTGATTGTGCTTAATGAGCACTTACTTTTCAGCCCAGCACACTGAATGAGAAAGAAAAGCATAGTATAAATCACACAATTAAATACTACCTCATGATTCAGATAAAGAGGGCGTCGAACCAAATATAGTACAGTGGCCATTCAGGCATTTTTGGGTGACTTTTAGCACTTAATAGTCTTAAAAAGATCAAAGCGTGGTGTTTGTGGTGTCTGTGGGGAACAATGCAAAGACCTTACAAGTGGTTATACAGACTACGGATGGAAAACTTGCATCTCTCAAGTTCCTACAGCTCTGGAGATGTTTAGGGGTAGCTCTAGAGTCTGGGCTGTGCCACATCCCTAGAAAGAGGACTGTACTGAATATTTTGGATTCCCAACAATAAGAAACCAAGTTGGCTGAGGAGACTGATGAGGAGACTGAGTTGATGACCCATCAACTCTGCTGGGTCATCTCAGGATAACTCGAAACATGGCAAAACATGTAAGACAAGCAGGATAGACATATTGAAGAGTGCAGAGGAGATACCCCAGAGCAGCACTGCAGAAAGTTAACCTGTGTCTGGAAGGATGTACTAGCTCCTGTCAGTGGCTGCCCTGTGAAACCTGAGCTCATATTTGCAGAGCCATTTGAGTGTCTCTGGTCTACAAGCAGTGTATCAGCCAGTCTTGGAAAATTACTGTCATTTCCTGTCTGTGAATTTATCTTAGAGTGTCCTCCCAGTGGCTCCAAGGTTGACAGTATACGTGAATGTCTCCAAAATATGCGAAAATTTAGCAACTGGTTCAGGGGATCAGGAAGGTTGCCCAGAGAAACAGCAGAAGAGTTGGACATTACTAGTGGGCTAGATATTTCTGGGGCACTGGAGAGAGATTCTGAGATGTAGGAACTTAACATCCCAGCTGATATTCCCTTCCAGCTCTCTATCCCGTTTACTATTCTCACTGTTTTATACGTGCTTTTGTACATCACTTTCCTGACTACTATCCACCTGTGAATTTTTTGCATTTGAATCAAGCTGCTTTCTTTTTTCTCCCATGCCATCCGTGCACAAGCACAACAGGTACGGACAGCAGAGAAGAGCCTCTCTGTGAAGAGTCAACACAGAAATTCTTATCACAAAATAGAAGCTCTATCACTGTATGATGACAGTGCATCCGCAGCCAGGCCAGTAAAGGGAAACCTTGTGGGATAAATCATGCTCTCTCATTAGGATGCTTCAGAGCAGAGTACTGCCAGTCTCTAAGAAGCCTCTGGGAAGCATATGTGAACTCTAGTTTGTCAGAAACTATTATTTGGCTGTGCACAAACAGGAAAATACACCTGACAGCAAGGCTGTCCTTGTGCCCTGTTCAAAACTGAGCTATTTCAAGATTTCTGTAGAGCCTTACATAGTTTTGTTAACATGCACAAGACAACACTGATTTAAAGTTATTCCTAGAAAATGGACAACGGTTTCTGTTGCAACTGTTTTGGTCCCTGAGACCCTTGGGAAAGTCTGGAGCAAGGAAGACTTACCCTGGGTGGAGGAGGATCAGATTAGGGAACATTTAAACAAACTGGACATACACAAGTCCAGGGGCTCTGATGGGGTGCACCTAATAGTATTGAGGGAGCGTGGCCAATGTCATTGCAAGGCCAATCGCAATTATCTTTAAAAGGTGATGGCAATCAGGAGAGGTTCCTGAGGACTGAAAAAGTGCAAATGTCATTCCCATCTTCTAGAAGGGCAAGAGGAAGGATCTGGGGAACTATTGACCGGTCAGCCTCACCTCAATCCTCAGGAAGGTCATGGAGCAAATCCTCCTGGAAACCATTAACAAACACATGAAGGACAAGAAAGTAATCAGGAGTAGTCAGCAGGGATTTATGAAAGGCAAATCATCCTTGACAAACCTGCTAGCTTTCTGTGACGAAACGACTGGCTTGGTAGGTGAGGGGAAAACAGTGGATGTTGTTTGTCTTGACTTTAGTAAGGCTTTTGACACATAAAATCACATAACATCCTCAAGGACACACTGATGAAGTACAGGCTGAAAACTGCCTGAACTGCTGGGCTTAAAGGGTGAACAGCAGCACAAAGTGCTGCTGGAGGCCAGTCACTAGTGGAGTAGCCCTGAGGTCAAATATTGTTTAACAAACGTCTTCATTAATGACCTAGATGATGGGACAGAGCGCACCCTCAGCAGATTTGCAGATGATGGAAAATTGGGAGGAGTGGTTGATACACTAGATGGTTATGTTGCCCTTCAGAAGCGCCTTGATGGGCTGGAGAAATGTGCAGAGAGGAACTTCATGAAGTTCCTCAAAGGGAAGTGCAAAGTCCTGCACCTGGGGCGGAATAACCCCATGCACCAAGAGATGTGGAGTTCAGGAGCCGGCGAGGAGAGAGCAGGGCAAAAAGCAGGATCACAACCCTGGACTTCAGGAGAGCCAACTTTGGCCTTTTCAGGGACCTTCTTGGAAGAGTCCCATGCGACAGGGTCCTAGATGGAAAAGGGATCCAAGAGAGCTGATTAGTATTCAAGGATCACCTCCTACAAGCTCAAGAATCCAAATGAGCAAGAAGTCTTTATGTTATCTTTACATTACCATCTTGAACAGTGGAAGCTTACCAAGTCTAAATGCCAAGAAAAACAGGCCAGAGCCCATGTTCCTATCAGGAAGACAAGTTCCAAGTTTAATAGGGATCATAAGGCTTACCGTAGTGAGACATTCCACCTACTGAGGCTCTACAGAAGCTGTCTGTTAACTTTGCAGTTCCAGTTTTCCCTCACCAAACCTAAATCATGGAACAAATTGTGAATTAAGTCTGCAAATAGTTAAAAGAAAAAAAAGCATAAGAAGTTCCCACACACCTCTGTCAAAGGAGTGTACATTACAGTGTATTACAGATATCGAAGGTATTTTTTTATATTCAGTGTATGAAACTGGTCCAAACTGCTGATATTTTGCAGTGAATTTGGGCAGACAAAAAAAAAATCTGAAAGGGATCATGAAAGCCAATCAGCTAAATGCTTTCTTAGAAAGTACTCACTTAGTATGCATATTCAGAAAGATGCGTGTAACGTTCGAACTGCTTAAAGAGATCCCACGAATACATAAAACCTTTTTGCCAGCTAAAAAAAAAAATAGCAAAATTTGATTATCAACAGCAAATCAGTACTTTCAGGCTTCTGATTAAAATAGAGAGTCTGCAATATATAATAATATGCACAACTTTTTTTACCAAAGTGTTCAAAATTTCGTAATTCAACAACTGTACGAGCATACATATAAGACACTGATTTTACTGACACTTAGTACACTTGAAGTTGAGTGAAACAGAGTACTGTGCTGAACAGGTGCTAACGTCAGAATATCCATGATGCCCAGTTTCCTAAAATTCAATTTTAGCAGCCCCACTTGCAAATTTAGTAATGCCAGGTCACAGCAAAGTGAGACTTACGCATCATTACAGCCAAAAATACTGGTCATACACTCCCATAGTAAACATAAGCATGCTAAAGTGTGTCATTAAGTGCATATATGATTATAATAAAGACGTATATTTTTTAGCTGGGAGACATCATCTCCTGGTGTGTTTGAAGGGTCGCCTGAAGAACCTTCTTCTAGAGTGCGTAAAGCATCTGCAGTAGAAGACGCGTTGTTTGCAGCTGGTTCAGCCGCGCCAGCATGCAGCATTTGCTCCAGTCTCTGAATACCTGTAAAAAGGAAATACAGTTCACTACAAATTTCTCCTCGCCAAAAGAAACAGTGGAAACAGAAGGGAAATAACTGACTGGACATAAATAATTTTCACCATGAGAGCGATTAAACACTATAACAGGTTGCTCGGAGAGGCTGTATAATCTCCATCTTCGGACAGTCTCAAAGCTTGACTGAAGAAAGCCCTGAGCGACCTGCTCTGACTCACAGATGGGCCCTGTTTTGAGCAGGATGCTGTACTAGATGTTCAGAGATTTCCCTTGCAACCTAAATTTGTCTATGATTCCATTACTCCCATTACTTCACAAACAACCCTTTTGACAACAAAGTACAGCGCTGACTCAAGGTCAAGTACTTTATGACATAAGAGATGGGTGAATTTTTCACATCCATCATAAGAATATCCACATAAAAATGAGTGGTGCTGGGCAATTCTCATGTGATATAAAGGGTAATTTGAGAGAGGAAAGAGAATATCACACAAAATTTGGTTCACTGACTCCTGACAGAGTTGAAAATGATTTTTAAAATGAAGCTCTGCAAACTTTAAAGGTTTAATATATTCCAAAGCAAGTGCTTCATAATCTATGTTATGGGTCAACATAATACTTCCCAGTTTATACAAACTCTGAAAACAAGCCTAGAGGGAACAATCAGATTTGAACTTGTTTGTAACGGTACCTTTTCTTAAAACTTGAATACTACTTCATGACACAGTAAAAGTAAAACACACTTACACAGGTAAATCTTATCGACAGAATCAGAGAAAACCAGTCTAAACCATCCAGGCTCGTAACAGTAAAAAGCTTTTCCAGGACTAATGAGGAGTTTTTCATCGAGGAGCTTCTGCCATAATTCAAGTTCAGCTTCAAATGTCTGTGATTTTAAGAACTAGAAGAAGAAAATAAAACTGTATTAAGGACTGAACCAATTCATAAATTCTTAAAATGACTTTTCAAGGACCTGATGTTAAAGTGTGTAACAACATATATTACTTTGTTTTGTCTTTGTCTTTCCTTTTTTTTTCTTTTTTTTTTTTTAACACCCTCTTTTGAACTTCTTACATACTTTTCTGAAGTCTGCCCACACATATAGTCCTCCTGAACTTTTGAGCACGGGTATTCCAACATCTGCAAGTCCATTCACAAGAATATTCTGTGCTTCTTTAAGTCGCTTTTTGTTGGTGGGAAAAAACACGTTATCCAACCAATCTACCAAAGTAAGAAAAATAGCATTCTGTTTTATTTCTACCTATAAAGGAAAAATAATGCAGTTCAATGGAAGCATTCCTAATGTGACTAACCTCTGTCACTAATGAATTGACTGAGAACATGCTGAACTGGTCCAGGACAGCCATGGAAGACAGCCAACTGATTCACAGCTTTCCGAATTTCATGATTTCTGGTATACAGCACTCCAACTCTGATACCACTCATACCAAAATCCTTGGAGGACAAAAATAAGAGAGAGAGGTAAACTTGATGAAAAGCAGTATCTAGCAATATATTTGTGCACAGTACTGATGAAAACAGTATGATATTCTCAATATTTATGAAACCAGCCTTTTGTTCTTCATTGAACAAAACTCCCATTAGAGGCAAGGAAATCATTAGTCACACAGAGAATGAAAGATCAAGCCCAAGAAATTTAGGATAGCAACTACATGGTAACATTAAAGCTAAAAATATTGACTGTTGTGCCATTTCTAGAAATGATTGTTTTAATAGACAGTGCAAGGACTCTTCCATCCCATAATTAAAAAAAAAAAAAGCAGTATCTAATTAGTGGTATCTAATAAGAAATCCTTAAAAATGTTCTCCATGCAGAATTGTAGGTGCTATCTATTCAGGTGTGAAAGGACTGACAAACTACCAATTGGCTATGCAGTTTTACGCTCATAACGTGGGCTGGAAGCATCTCACTTCTGAAATTCTGGAGCAAAGTCACACGTGGCCAAAATGGAGTCCACCAGCAACTTCGATACTACTGTGTGGCAGGGGAGGGGAAGGAGAAGGTGAAGGCGACATGCTGCCAAGCCAACAGAAAATAGTGCAACCCAGTTACAAAGAGCATTTTTAGAGAAAACAGAGAATAGAGTTTTTAAAGAATAAAATTGTTAGCCCAGTCTTGAAGCATTATGGGTTTCTTAGACAAACTGGTAACATTTTACACATGTTAATTATCTCCAGATATAGACAGCAATAACGAAAGAGAAGTTAGTGACTTCACTAACGTTGCCTTAGAGGCCAACAACTGAAAACAAACCAGCCTTATGCCCTTACTCTGTCCCCATTATATCTCACTGTTGTTTCTAAGCAGTCATCAGTTTACAGTTCCCTCCAAGACAAGAAAAGGCAGAATGCTACAGACCTGAAATGTAATACGCTTCAACTTGCACTATGCTTCCCCCCACCAAACATGGCAACCAGTAAGTCAGTACAATGCCTTTAATACACAAGCATTAGTTGTTCCTATTAAGTAGGTCACAAAGTAAACTCCGTGCTTTAACAATTTGCACACCACTGAAGAAGAAAATAAATAAACAAACAAGGAGAAACGCAGTTTGGCACCTATAATACAAATTATGTTGGAATAGTCCGAGAAATTTTTGTGGAAAAATATCATAAATTAAAACACAAACATAATATATCGACCTACCTTGCTAAAACCCCACATAAAATGTGTCCGTTCTGGATCTGGTACACTGAATGAGAAAAGAGGAAGTTAAAAAGAACTGCTGTTATAGAGGAACAAATTACACAGGCTACAAAAAATTTAAAATATGTAAAATTACAGTATATTCTTAGTAAAATTAGTATTCCTTTAAAGTGATATGACTTTTTTTTCCAGAAATGTTGTAACAAAACTTTACACATGTTAATTCTCACACACACATACACAAACAGAAAAGAAAATGATGTGTCCTAAGACACAATGGTCCAGTTAAAATTGCCAGATTCCCATTATAGTGATCAAACGCATAATGAAACAAAAATAGTATTTCCATAAATGGTGCAAAATGGCTCTTGATGGAGAAGAATTCTTTGCTCAGCTATGCTGCATTTCAGTCTACGAAAGGCAGAATTGAGCATTTTAGGCAATGTACTTACATAGTGTGGTGCAACTAAACTAATTACAGCTCAGAGGACTATTTGAAGAAGATGGCTTTTCTCCTTTGTGTAACTTTTTGTGAGTAGGTCCAAGGCTGCAGATTTCCTCCTTCAGACACATGAAACCGGGTGAATTTTCATAGTAACAAAAGTATTTTGATTTTATGGTTCTTATTGGTTCATTTATGCTTTGTGTTCTTGTACGGGTAAGACAATATCCGCTCACTCCCTGTGCTTGGTGGTACTTGGATGGACTTGGAAATTCACCATCAGTGTGAAACTTATGCAGTTATACAAAGACAATCAGATAGTTTTGGGAAAGAAGTTTCATTAGTCAGATACTAATAGCTTAAATATTCTTGAAACATTTATTTTTTCATCCTCTGTGCCAGGAAGCTAATAGCCCAGCAACATACTAGTCAGGAAGGAGACTCACTCATAGTAGGCAACCTGCGCAACTTCTAGCAACATCATCAGCATTACAGTGAAATCCTTACACTGTGTAACAGGAAACCACAGAAAAAAGCAAAGTGGCAAGATGACTAAGGGCTTTGTCTATTTGTGATTGTTATTACTACATTATGCACATCATCTGGAAGCATGAGACCTACCATTTCAAGCAGACTGTGAAGAACATCTCCTGTATTAACGAGGCTCATAGTTGCAAAGGTATGGACGTGAGTTAGTTGTATTGACTAACCAGAAGTTTGAAAAAAATGGCATGGGTTCTGTTTAGGATTAACTGTCTTCCAATCCCTGCTGAGAAATCACACTTACCGCTCTAAGCTAAGAACACTGGTGAAGGTGCTGTCACCATACACAGACAGCATGTATATTTCATCCATGATTACATGCAATTCATATCTACGCACAGAAAAATACAGGTATATTAACACATTTAAAAGAAAGGTCTTTTTGCACACACACACACACACACACACACATATATATGTGTATATATATATATATATAAACTACTGCCATGGCAAAGTACCCATAAACATACTTATTTGCTATTATATTCACCCTACAAGTTTTACCCCCAAATCAATTCTTTTTACGGTCACAAGGCATGCTGTAAGCTCTTGTGCATCACCATCTGCTTATACATGTTTGATATTTCTCAGCAGCAATAACATTCCAGTCATCTGAAATACAGTCTGACTGCATGCTCAGTCCACTGGTTCTCAGGATTATGTGTAGTCCCCACCCAAACCGTATTTAAAATTTCAAACAAACAGAACTGTATATAACAGTTCTCTTTACCCTACAAGACTTATTCAGCGAGATTTGAAAACAAATGCAGATTTTAGATTAAGATCACTTAAGATAACTCTCTAATACACTCCCGCTGTGAATGCCACAACAAACAGCAAGCCATCATACAAGTGTCATACTTGATACTAGGAAGCCTTGGGCATATTCGGAAATAGCAAATAAGTGGCAGAATGCTTTAAACACCCAAGTAGCACAGGCACCTCAGTCTAACAAAACCTCATTTAAATCCACTATTGACTTCTATTTTTCTTTTTAAAAAGGAAGCTTGGTTGCAGAACAGCTTTTACATTAAAAATACAATTATTTTTTTCTAATCATTATCCTCTAACATTTTAGTACCAACGTTAAGTTGGTTGCATCCTGAAATCCATGGACCGTGCCAGGAAAAAGACACATTTGCCATTTAAAAAAAACTGGTAACTGGAAATAGTACATTGAACTCTAGCAACCTCCACTGTTGTTTCTATGAAAAGAAAAAACATGGCAAAAATGCAGGAACATTACGTTATTCTGTTTCAAAATAAAATAAACCAGCAAAAATTTGGTAAATAATGAACAATTAATACTAACCTACTCTATTTAAGATTGTCAGAAACTATCCAAGCACTGTTAGATTTCTGAAGTAGGTACAGAGTTTAGCAGTCATGCTTTGGCAAAAGCTCAATGAAATAATAAAGATATACATTTTTCCAGAAAAAAAATTCAGATGTTTTTCAAAAGGTAATACTTTTCTCTGTCAGTCCCCAAAGGAGTCAGGAGATTGTTAGGGCTTAGAAAGCAGACTCCGAGCTGGGCAAAGATAAAGGATGGGGAATGGGAAAGAGACATCTTGGAGGTATCTTCCTTTGAAGGAAAGTGAATTGCTTATAAATCTCGAATTCAAACTAAGTAGGTATAAAAGATACTTAGACACTTCAGACAGTTAAATTACTCTTGGACAATTAAATTACTTCCCCCCCCCTCCAATATCAAATTTTATTATTGTCTTATTTTGATAATGTTTCAAGTGATAGCACTAGCCACATTGACATTTTTTACTGCTAAAGACTTTGGTAATCACCTGTTGTCATGCATCAAAGCAGGTTAATAGAGAAATATTGTTAAGCAAATAAAAAGCTTTAGTAGTTTAAATCACACATAAAAAAATCCCAAAGATATCTCATTCAGAAACACATTGCTGGACCCCAGTTTAAGTAATGTATTTTAGCATTCCCAGAAAGGCCAAATAAAAAGGATCGTTACAGACGAAACCTGACCAGGACCCTGTATCCTGCCTCCTGGCAACACATACAAACCAAAGAACAGGAGATCACCAAAGGCGATTTTTTTTTTCTCATTACTGCTCTATTGCATAAAGGAAAATTAAATAACAAACAAACAGCACTAGGA